TGGCGCTGGTGCTGCCGCTGGGGGTACTGGTGCCGTCCCTATTGTGTCTGGAGTCGCCGCGCGGCCGCGGCCGTACTTCGTTCCGCTCCTTCAGCAGGTTCTTGGTCTCCCGCCCTCTACTGGTCCTCCTCCTCCCTTAGAGTGTCCACAGCCTGTCCCCTCACAGTCACATTTACAGCCGGCCTCCCCACTGCCTGCTCCTTCTCCCTACACTGATCCTACTGGAGGTCTTGCTGAGCGTCGTGAGCCTGCGTCTCGCCCTACGTCGCCTGTCCGTGCTGCTCGCAATAGTGGTCATGGTTCGCGTCAGCGTCCTCCTCCTGTCCCTGGCACGCACCGGATGTCTCTGCGTCCATCCACTGCTCCTCTGCGTGCCCCTTTGCCTTCTCCTCCTGCGTCCTCGCTTCCTGCTCTTGCCGACCCGGAGTCGGACTCTCTTCGTGCTGCCAGTCCTACTGTCACGCGTCTCCTTGCTACTGTCGTCACTGACCCTTCCTTTGAGTCCACTGCTGCGTCTGCCCTAGTTGCTGAGCTCGTCGACTTTGCTGCTCGCTGTTGTCTAGACTACGTTGCTAGTCTTGTCGCTGAGTCTGAGTCTGTTTGTCCTCCGTCCGTCGGGGGTGAGTATGCCCTTGGCACGGACGTCCTTGAGGACAGGAAGGAGGAGTTCCAGTGTTTGGCTGCTGCTTCACCTCATCTCGTGTCCGTACTGCTTACCCCTGAGGGAGACCCGGATGCACTTGACATCCCGACTCCGCGCTCTTTCGCGGAGGCGATAGAGGGTCCCTACTCCTCTCAGTGGCAGGCAGCTATGGACACAGAGATGGCTTCCTAGAAGTACACATGCACCTACGTTGACGAGGTTCCCCCGCCTGGGGCGAACATCGTCAGTGGCATGTGGATTTTCAGGGTGAAGCGGCCGCCGGGTTCTCCGCCTGTCTTAAAGGCGCGTTACGTGGCTCGTGGCTTCAGTCAGCGGCAGGGAGTTGACTACTTTCATACCTTCTCTCCCACCCCGAAGATGACCACTCTTCGGGTACTGCTGCACATAGCTGCTCACCTCGACTACGAGCTGCACTCTTTTGACTTCAGCACTGCTTTCTTGCAGGGCAGCCTGCACGAGGAGATCTGGCTACGTCGCCCACCTGGCTTCACTGGGTCTTTTCCTCCTGGCACCCAGTGGAGTCTCCGGCGTCCAGTCTACGGTCTCCGCCAGGCACCGCGTGAGTGGCACGACACACTGAGGACTACACTTGCGGCTCTTGGGTTTGCTCCCTCTACTGCTGACCCGTCGCTGTTTCTGCGCACCGACACTTGTTTGCCACCGTTCTACATCCTCGTGTACGTCGACGACTTGGTCTTTGCCACAGCTGACACTGGTGGACTCGCCCACGTGAAGTCCGAGCTGCAGAAGAGACACACGTGCACAGACCTGGGTGAACTGCGCAGCTACCTTGGCTTGCAGATCACCCGGGACAGAGCACGCCGCAGCGCTTCGGCTTCACGTACTCGTCGCCTCATGCCACTCCTCTGCCTACTCGCCACTCGCTCTCAGCTCTGCCTTCGGATGAGTCCGTAGAGCCGAGTGGCCCGTACCCAGAGCTTGTTGGGTGCCTCATGTACCTGATGACCTACACACGACCTGACCTTGCATACCCTCTTACCATTCTCGCACGCTATGTTGCTTCTTGGAGACACAGACCGGAGCACATGGCTGCAGCGAAGAGGGTGTTGCGCTACTTGTGCAGTACGTCGGGCATGGGGCTTGTGCTTGGAGGGCAGAGTCCAGTGGTCCTCACAGGGCACGCAGACGCTTCTTGGGCTGACGACCAGGCTACGCAGCGGTCGTCACAGGGTTACACCTTCAGCCTTGGTTCCGGCTCTGTTTCGTGGCGGGCTACCCGCTCGTCTTCTGCTCTCGGCTCCAGTTGTGAGGCTGAGATCTACGCGGGGGCCATGGCTGCACAGGAGCTTCGTTGGCTCACCTACCTGCTGACTGACCTAGGAGAGCCGCCTCATTCTCCTCCAGTCCTGTACGTAGACAACAAGGCCATGCTGGCCTTGTGTCGAGAGTAGAGACTGGAGCACAGAATGAAGCACATTGCTCTTCGCTACTTTCTTGCTCGTGAGCTACAGCAGCGTGGTCAGCTGCGCCTTGCGTACGTGGCCTCTGAGGCCAACACTGCTGATATCTTCACCAAGGCACTTGCGCCTTGTGATCATCAGCGCTTCTGTACTCAGCTGGGTCTTGTGCCTACCTTGCCTCACTTGCTCACCCCTTGACCTTGTTTGTACTGTTGCATATATATATACACCTGCTCTTACTTGTCTAGCCTTATATATATATGTAATCCTGCATGTGAACTGGCCTTGTGGCCTTGAACTTGTGCTCGGAATGTGTGGTGATTTTGTGATCCACCCTGAGCTTGCTTTGCTTTGCTTGACTGGTCTTGTGACCCCTTGTTCTCCCCCACTTTGCCTATGGGGGTGTGTCAGATTTATATGACATAGCCACTGTAGGCTATAGTGGGGTAGCACATATGGGGTACAGTTTTCTAGGGTTTGTACTTGTACCCAACTTTCCCTTAGTCATTTCATTCTCGTTCAATTCCACATCAAACGGAGCGGACGAATCAGACGATGGAGCAGTTTATTCGTGCCACGTGCGACCACCCGACCACTTGGAAGCAGCAGCTGCTGGTGAAACAGTTCGCGTACAACGACACGTCGGCGACGACGCAGCAGTCCTCCTTCTATCTGAACTACGGGCAAAACCCTACAGTGCCCATGACGCCGAGTCCGGACAACCCAACGCCACGTGCACAGCAATTCGCCGAAATTTTGCAAGCTGCCCGCACCAGAGCCGTAGAAGCAATTAAAAAAGCCAACGTCATCGCTAAGCGCAACGCTGACCGCCACCGTCGCCCAGTCACGTACCAGTCAGGAGATTACGTACTGCTCGACACGCAAAACTTAAGACTGCCCGTCGTACTGAAATTACGACCTCGCTACTGTGGACCATTCCAAATCAGCCACATGATTACCCCAGTAACAACTCACCTACTATTGCCGACAGACTGGTACATCAGCCCTTCGTTCCACGTCAGCTTGCTTCGCCCATACATCCCAACCACAAGTCAACTGCCTCGCCACCGCTCGCCATCCATGATTCGCCCTGCATCGGAGGCGGTCATCGAGCCCGAAAAAATCATGAGCCATCGGATTCGACACCCCACGGGAATCAGGAGGATTGAATTCCTCGTTCGCTGGAAGGATCGCACGCCAACTGAGGACAGCTGGGTGCCCCTGGCCAACATCGAAAACCACCCTGCCCTGCAAGTGTACCTGAGGAGCCGGGGCTTCCGCGATATACACGCACTCGCGTAGCGGAGGGGGCTTCTTGAGGGGGGGGGGGGGGGGGGGGGGGGGGGTAGTGTAAGGAATTTTCTCAATATTCCTTAGCGCACCCTGCAACATCGCGTACAGCAGCAGCCGTTGTTCGCCCGTTACTGCTAACAGGGCTTCGCCGACTTCGCGCGCACTGTTTCACCAAATCTCGCACTGCTGGCTTGGCTGTGTCGGCCTACGCTTCGGGACTAGCCCGAGCCTCGCTTCCAGCGTAGCACTAGCTAGCTCGCACGCACCGCGTTACTGTTTGCATGCTTCACGTATAAATGTTTGCTCACGCCTTCGCTCACATTTTGTACTCGTTTGACACCTTAGTGCAATTCTCGCTACTTCGATTCATTGCACCCGTAACAACTTTCCATGTCAAACGAGTTGTCCTACACCACCGCCACCTGCCACGGGGGCCAGCCCTACGTGCTTCGCTGTTGGGCTTGACGTTGCACAAGTGTGAGCAACAGTTTTCGCAGCTGTCCCCTGGCCAGAAGGTGCGCTGCACCGAGTCGCTGTTACCAACCCACCAAACCAGAACAGGTTTTCTCGCCAGGCCAAGTCAGGCCGGACGGAGGCATCGCATTTGTGGAGCACTTCCCGCCAACTGAAACCGTTGTCTCCCACACAGCACTCCATTTGCTCCCTCGAATTCCTCATCTTGATATGACGGGATGGGACAGGACAGTTCATTGCACAGTTGTGCTTCTTCTCGATAACCTACTCCCACTGGTTCCTAAGTTTCTCGATATTTGTTTGCCGCATTATAAGTCAGCGGAGTGAGGGGTATGGAGTCGTAGGCATTCTAATTCAGCCGCGTTGCGTTTCCACTTGTTAGGGTATCTCAACAATACTTGCGTGATCTTCTCAAGTTGGTACGACAGCCAGATGTGACTTTACATGGCATCTATTTCACTCAGGAGTACTGTAGGTAAATGGTAGGTCTTTTTAGCCCTCCTAAGTTGGCTCTAGCTCTTTCATACTTCCCTTTACGCATGTTCCGTTTCCGCGCCGAATAGCTCGTCTCTCCACTCCCTTCGTCCTCTCACCGTGTCTCGCCGCTTTCTTTGTTTCTCTGCACGAATTTCCCAGCCTAAACACTCTCCAGTCGCGTCAGTCATTGTGCCTACTTCCCTTTTCTCTTCTTCCCTTTTCTCTCCAGCTTTCCTTTCCAATTCCACCGATAACGACCTACGTCTCTTCTATTCCATTCTCTCCTATCGTCCCCTTTCTTCCCCGATCCGCCAGCGCATCCCGTAGCAAGTGACAGGTAGAGGGTGCTTGGAACCCTAGCTTTCCGTTGAAAGTGCAATTCCGATGCACCTGGCTGCCTCGAACCGGCTGCGGACGGAGTTTTTATAGCAACTTGTCAGTCAACTCAGAGATTTCAAATAGTAGCATACAGAGGGTGCTTGTAGCCGGAGTCGCGTTGTATTGACGACTCCTTATAAGACGTTTAAAATCGCGCGAGCAGCAGGTCCCATAGCTAGTTGTGCCGAGGGTGTCGATGCCTGTAGCGCGAGTAGCACGGTGACGGTACGATTCCAGGTGCACGTGGCTCTTTGTGACCGGCGGCAGCTTCGGCGGGAGCATCGGCAGCTAGCATGGCGGGGGTGATAAACATGGCGGCGGTGACGCGGCCTGTGGAGGTGGATAACAACCTGTCGCTGCGAGTGTACCTGCGACTGGCCAAGAACTTGCAACACCTGGTCAGTTCTAGGTTAGCACATAAGCACATGCATATACCTCACTCGAGCAATTTTGAGTCGACAAAAAACAACCTGTCGCTGTGAGTGCATCTGCGACTGGCCAAGAACCTGCAGCACCTGGTCAGTGCTAGGCTTACACATAAGCACATATTTACACCTCACTCGTGCGGTGATGGACGCGGGATGAGGAGATTCTGAAGCATGCTCTACTCGTTCAAATCGGGCTTTTCATCGTTTTTTTTCTTCCGATTTCTGCTTTGTGCGCACGTACTATGCACTGAGTTCGAAGCTCTCTCCCCTTGTAAGCCTCTCCTCGTTACGTCCATCCAAGCTCTGCTCAGACGCTTCTCCCTTCGCTGTTGTGTGCCAAGTCAAAAAGAGGAATGGACTCCCTCGTTACGTCAGTCGGGTTCCTCGCTTCTCCCTTCCCCACCGTCGTGCGTTGGCGACTAACAGGCTGACGTGTACCGCTGCGAGGGCAACAAGCTACAGCTCTACGTGCTCCTCATCCGATTCATCAGGTAGAGTGACTCTCCCTTTCCCCTTCCCAACCCCTCCCATCTTGCCTGCACCAATGACATAGCGGGCCTGCTTTTCCTTGTCCGATCCTCTGCATCTTGCTCCCTCCTCTTCCCCTTCCCTCCCTCCCTCCGTCATCCAGTTTTTTGTCACCGTTTCCTTCTTTTCCTCCCCTTCCCTCCCCATGACTTCCCCTCCCTGCTCCTCACCAATTACCCATCATTTTTTCTGGTAACTCATTCACCCTTATTGCTATCGTCTTGTGCCGTGGCGTGTATAACCTGTTGACGAGTTCTGTGACATGTCAAAGCTTTTCCCATTCGTTCGCCTGTTTGCTTGTTCGCCTGTCGCCCGTGCTGCGGTTCTCCCCTGTCCCATGCACAGCCTGGCGACAACCACTATACCGCAGCACAAGGAGTACCGCAGCCAATCGCACCTGCTCGCCCTCACCAGCCTCAAACGGGTCAGTCATTCCGCGCCCTCTCGCCCGTGCTCCTGTCGCTGCTCTTTTGCCGTCATGCTTATGACGATTCTCTTGCTCTGGCCCTGTCTCTGCCGCTGCTGCTCCCTCTGCTCCTGTTCCCCTCTTTACAACCCCCTCTCCTGCCTTCCCCACCTCACCTTCCCTTCACGTCCGCCCTTCCTCGTCCCCTCCCTCTCTCCTGTCCCTTTCTCTTGCCTCTCGTTCTCCTTCCCTCCTTTCCCCCACTTCCTCTCACCGGGACAGCAATCCCTGGCAGCACTGGACGAGTGCGAGCAGCTGAAGCCAGACGCGGACCAGAGTCTTCTCCCGTTTCCCTAATTACCCTTTTGAAACCCGCCCCCTTAACTCCCCTGCTTCCAACCGCAGCAAGCCCTGGCAGCACTGGACGAGTGCGAGCAGCTGAAACCAGCAGTGGCTCGCCTCAACGGCACGAGCCTGCTCTCCTTCGAAGAGGATTACCCTCCAGAGGAGAACGGTGTTGTCCCCGTCTACTTCCCCACCTCCCCGCCCCGCCGCGCCTCCTCCCTCGCCTCCTTCTCCTCCTCCTCCTCCGCCTCTCCCGTCTCCTCCACCACTTTCATCTCGTCCCTCTCCCCTTTTCCGGACTCCTCCTCATATTCCTTCTCCTCCTCCTCTTCAACTGCCCCATCCTTGTTCACGTCTCGTGCCAGTTGGCCAGGATATGGACCTAGCAGCATGGATACCGGTGCTGGTTCTGGTGGTGTGGTCGCAGTGGACAGTAACAGTGGTTTCTACAGCTATGGGAGCAACGGGAGCAACGGATATAGTGCTGATCTTGGTGGTGGCTATAACGGTGGTGGCTACAGTGGTAGCAGCAGCAGTAGCAGCAGCAGCAGCAGCAGCAACGGTAGTGCTGTGTTGGCCGGGATTGGAGCGACAGGGGCGCTTAGCTTGGGAATGGATCTAGACGTCTGGGCCCAGTCTCTGGTAGGTCCTCCTCGTGTTCTCTCACCTGGCCATTCTAGACGTCTGCACCACAACACCATCTTTTTGGCCATTCTGCTGCTCTTCCCTTCGTCTTTCTCCTGGCATCCATTCCGTTTCCCTCTCGCCCCCTTCTCGTCTCCGCCCCCCCCTCTCTTTTCTCTCTCTCTCTCTCTCCTAACGTCTCCTGCGTTTTGCCTTCGGTCTGCTTCTCTCGCTCGTCAGACGCAGCCCCAGCAGGGGCAGGAAGCAGCCCTATCTCTCGCCATTCCCAGCACCACTTCCTCGTGGTCCAACCCGGCTGCTTCAACAACCTTGTTGGAGCAACAACAACACCCTCAGCAGCAACAGCAGCAGCAGCAGCCGTTTTATTATCAGCAGCAGCCGCAGCAGCAGCAACAGCAGCAGTGGTATCAGCCCCAGAACAGCAACAGCATGGATCTGCTGTCCGGAATAGGCTCTCTCTCTCTAACCACTGCTGCTCTGCCTGCCATAGCGTCTGCTGCCACTGTCGCAACCTCCATAGCTCGCCCTCTTACATCATCTTAGTGAGTAAATTTTATTTTTCTCTGCGTCCCTCCCTTTTTCCCGTCAGTCCCCCAACCCCGCACACGCCCTCCCACTTGCCTCTCTCTCACTCTCATTTTCTCCCACAGCCGTATTATCAACGGTTTTTTCTTTTCTTTTTCTACGAAGGACGTATTCTCCTTCGTGCAACTCACTTCCTTTTTGTACTTTTCCTGTTGCCCAGCTTTGAGCGTTAACCTCTCAATTTCCCCGCCTCCTCCCACCCCCAACCCTCAACAACCCCCCACACCACCCCACACCACTCTCAACTCCCACCCAACCCTGCTGTTCCACCTTGCATATCCACACCCACACCAGCAGCTCCTTCTCTCTCCCCCAGCCGCGGAGTGAGGCCCTGTCTCGCCACTCCCTCGTTTCCTTCCCGTCTTCCGCGCCTCGCCAACGAGCCTTGGCTCCTGTCCAGGTGAATGCCGCATGTGACTCACGAGTGACAGACTCTGTACTGATAGAGGTAATAGTGGCGTGGCCTACTCAGGAGTGACAGAATCTATAGTCGCAGCTTTTAGGAATCAACGTAGCCTTGGCTCCGATGCAGGTGGCTGACAGTCACTGCCGCATGACTACCAAAAGACAGGTCTGCTGTGTAGCCTCCACCTTCGCTTCTGTCCATGTGTCTGCTACCTGTGACTGCCACACGCAACTCACTTGTGACAGCTCGTATGACACTCCGTTGCCTTGGAGGATCCTGTGCACCCTGCACAGCCACGTGCACCGTCTCTGTAGTGGATCCTGTGCACGTGAGGAGGGGCAGCTGCTAATATGGCTCGTACGAACCTGAACCTGCCTTGGTGCCTTTCCCATGTCTCGTCGCCCGTGCTGTGTGCAGGTGTCATATCCCACCAAGATTGACTCGTCTCCTATAGAGCTTCCAGAGTATGTTCCTCGGTTCCTCGGTGCTGTGGTCTCTCCCTCCGTCAGTCTCCTCCTCTCTCCTTCCCTCCCTCCCTCTCTCCTTCCCTCCCTCCTTCCCTCCCTCACTCCCTCCCTCCCTCCCTCCCTCCCTCCCTCCCTCCCTCCCTCCCTCCCTCCCTCCCTCCCTCCCTCCCTCCCTCCCTCCCTCCCTCCCTCCCTCCCTCCCTTCCTCCCTCGCTCCCCCTCTCCGTCCCTGCCTTTCTTCCTCCAGGTCTCGCTCTCTGCCGCTCTGCCTTTCCCTCTCATCTCATACAGTCTCTTCTCCTGCTACTTTACATTCCTCCCTACTGCATTGACCGTACCTTCTTTCTCCATCTCGCACTTCTCTCAGTCCCCTCTCTTGGTTTGAGCTTCTTATGGTCCCGAGTTGACTTTTGAGTCGACTCAAAAGTCATCTTGGTTTGAGCTTGTTATGGTCCCCTGCACGTGAATCTTGTTGCCTTGCCTGAGTATCATGTAATGTTTATGAAAAAATGGAAGTTTTGTTTTTGTTTTTGTTTTTTGTTTTTTTTGTTGTTGTTGTTGTTGTCTACTTTGCTGTTGCCTATCCCCTGCACTCCCTCTCTTTGCCCAATTCAACCCTCAATTGCACTTCCTGTTCACCCCTCCTGCCTTCCCCTCAAACACAGTCTGCTATCATGGCCGGAGAAACCAAAGCCTCAGCAGCAGCAGCAACAACAGCAGCGAGATGCAGCATCAACAGCATCAGCCAACCGAAACACCCTTGACAATTCTTTTGCTGACTCTGTAGAAACAGAGAGAGATCTTAGATCCGACTCCACAGTCACAGGAGAAGCATCAGCGGCACCATCAACAACCGCACCGACAGAGCCAGCTGCAGCAGCTTCAGGTGCTGTGTCAGGTTCTGGTTCAGGTGCCGGTTCAGGGGCAGGAGGAGCAGCAGCGCCAGATCCTGCTGGAAACGACCCTTCAGCTATTCAACCACCTTCTGCTGCTGCTGCTGCGGCTGCTGCTGCTGCAGCCGTGACATCTAGTGTAGCGGCGGCGTCGGCGGCAGCCGCGGCGGGAGGAGTAGGGGCAAGAGGGAGAGAAGCGCAGTCAAATGGAGGTACTGGGTTGCCATCGCCACTGGTTCAGCCGGCTCCTCCTCCTGCCAACGCTCCCCTGCAGGAGGTTTCTCTGCCTGGTGTGGGCCGGCCCGAGCACTCCCACACGCACCAGCACGAGCAGAAGAAGCAGAATCACCGGTTGCAGCAGCAGCATGAGCAGCAGCTGGTGGTGGGAGGGGCACTGCCGGAGAGGAGTGGTGGTGGGGGCAAGGTCAGGAAGACGTCAGGGCCCAAGGGAGTGAAGGCCGTGCACATTGTATGTATGGCTGACAGGCATAGGCCCCTCCCGCATTTACCCTTCTCTCTCTCATGTCGTCACTTGCATTCACTTGTCGTTGAGCTCAAATAGTTGCTGCACTGTCTTACTGGGCACTCACCAGGGCCTGAGGGAGTGAAGGCTGTGCGCATCGTATGTATTCTCCCCAGCTTTTGCATGATGTAGCTCGCTTGCTTGCGCATTGCGTGTGCATTCGCTCGCTGTTCAGCTCGCCTGTTTGTTTCCCTCGCCCTTTGTCACTCATGATATTGCATGCCAAAGGATTGGGGACTGTGCATGCAGTGTGTGTCTTTGGCTTGCTTTCGCCCTGCCTCCTTCTTTCACCTTTCCGCTTTGCTGCCTTGGCTTTCCTCCTTTTTGGGCCCAGTCTAGTGTCAACTTGAACGGCTGCACAGTTGCTTACCTCTCACCTGCCCTTCACACAGATCAAATCTGATGTTTTCCTGCATGCGCACTGCCATGCCAATCCACCTGCCCTCCCACCAGTCCACGCGAATGATGGACGAGTTCATGCGTGTGGTCATAGACAACACCTCCCGCAACCTAGAGACTTGTGCTGTGCTCGCTGGCTCTCTGGTGAGTTCCCAATGTGGACGACTTTTGAGACGTCTCAAAAGTTGCTCGCTGGCTCTCTGGTGAGTTCCCAATGTGGACGACTTTTGAGACGTCTCAAAAGTTGCTCGCTGGCTCTCTGGTGAGTTCCCAATGTGGACGACTTTTGAGACGTCTCAAAAGTTGCTCGCTGGCTCTCTGGTGAGTTCCCAATGTGGACGACTTTTGAGACGTCTCAAAAGTTGCTCGCTGGCTCTCTGGTGAGTTCCCAATGTGGACGACTTTTGAGACGTCTCAAAAGTTGCTCGCTGGCTCTCTGGTGAGTTCCCAATGTGGACGACTTTTGAGACGTCTCAAAAGTTGCTCGCTGGCTCTCTGGTGAGTTCCCAATGTGGTAACACTCAAAACATCGCACGGTCCGACATTCCTATTCTGCATGTCTATCATCCCTTGTTTTCCCGGTGGTGTTGGACAACACCTCTTGCAACCCAGAGATATGTGGCGTGCTCTTTGGCTCTCTGCCCTGCTACGCTGCTACTTCCCATGTCCCTGCTTCTTTGTTTTCTCTCTCTTCCCCGTGGATATTCTTTCCCAAGGATATCATCAGCTGCTTTTCGTTTTTTTTCTTTCGTCTGCCCCTGCTTCTTCTGGTTTGACTTCCTGCATCCTCTGTTGTTGCAATGCGCAGAAGAAGGGGATGTTCTTTGTCACAGCGCTTATCCTGCCTAAACAGCACTCTACTTCTGATTCGGTATGTCCCTCCCTTCCTCTTCCCTCTCCACTTCCCTACCCTCGCCGTCTTCTTGGCTGCTTCTTGTAGCCCTTGGTGTCGCATCTTTGCCGTCTATCAGCCATGCGACCTGCTGTTTGTCTTCATCTAAGCTCACCTCACCTTCACATTCCTGCCCCGCGTTCGCTCCTGCCTGTCTTTTTGCCTCTACGATCCCACCCATCCCATGCCATCTCAACATTCCATCCCATCCCATGCCACGCCACGCCACGCCACGACGCTATGCCATGCCATGCCATGGCACGCACAGTGTTCCACGACCAACGAGGAGGAGATCTTTGAGGCACAGGACAAGCTGGGCCTCTTCCAACTCGGCTGGATACATGTACTACCACCACCACCACCACCACCTCCTCCTCCTCCTCCTCCTCCTCCTCCTCCTCCTCCTCCTCCTCCTCCTCCTCCTCCTCCTCCTCCTCCTCCTCCTCCTCCTCCTCCTCCTCCTCCTTTTCTTTGGTTGGCTCGCACCTTTTGCTCATTTCTCTGCATTTGGTGTATCCACTCTGTGGCCGTTTCATTGGTTGCTTGTTTGGGAGGTTTCTTCTACTCGGTCAGTTCCCTGCGTTTAGCGTATCTGCTGTTCCTTCTGCCCTCTGCCCTCTGCCCTCGCGTTTCCTGTGGACTTGGTTTGCCCATCAGACCCACCCGACTCAATCGTGCTTTATGTCGTCCATAGACGTGCACACACACTACTCCTATCAGGTCTGTTCTTTCTTCATTGGAATTAACTCGACGACGTTGTAACAAGATAAATGTAGACACGTTCATCTCGCCCTCCCCAATTACTCTTCTGTGCTTCTCATTCTCGCTCTCTGTTCAAGATATTTCCCCACTCATCCTCCACCGTTCCCCTTCCCATCAACTGCAACCAAGCTTCTTATCCTCAGCTTTCTGCAACCAAGCTTCTGTCCCCATCTCTTCTCTGTTCCTAGATCCAGTCTTGGTTTCAGTCATCTCAAAACTTGATTACTGTCTATGCGCCAACCGTGTCTCTGTCTCTCTGTGTGTGAATCGTTGTGCTGCATTATTGTCCCTTTGCCCCAGGTGATGCTGCCAGAGGCCATTGCCATTGTCATGGCTCCCATGGACCCTAGACGGTACGCCTTTCCTAACTTGTGCCTGCTGCCTATTCTCATTGCCTTGTTCCACCATTCTCGTCTGCCAGACTTGTGTTCCTCTTTCGACCCTCTTCCCCACCTTCCCTCCCTTCAACTTGGATCCTTAACCTGACACCACTTCGGTGAGGTACGAGTCAATCTTTGCTCTTCTTCCATTACTGTTGCCATTTATTTGTCTTCTGTCAAGATTGACTCATACCCCTCACTGATCTTGGTTGTCCCTAACCATAAAATACGAAGCCGATGTTGTTTTCTTTCTTTAGCTAACTCGACTTCCCTGATGACCCTTTCTCCCTTTGCTCCCCACTCCACCTTTCAATGTTCCTCGGTGCAGCAAGTTTGGCATATTCCGTCTGACAGATCCGGGGGGAATGAAGGTGATTCAGAAGTGCCCTCTGCGGGGTTTCCACTCCCACGAGCCTACTGAGGATGGAAGCCCCATTTACACGCACAGCTCGCATGTGTTTTTCAACCCCAAGATCAAGTTTGACGTGGTGGACCTTCGCTGATAAACCTGTGCTATCCATGCAGCTTTTACTGTATTGTTGAGTTCGTTCGTTGACTACAACTTAGCACATATTTGGCGCGATACTAAACAATCAGCCTAGCTGTATACATTTATTGTATTCAGTAAAGTTACCGAACAGCCAGCCTACCTGAACACACCATCACGCCCCGAGCCACACGGCTTGGCTGGTAGCCTGCTGCCTGGCCTACGCCTAGGCCAGTCCCTAAACCTTGGTGCTAACCCGTGTGGAATCCCGCTGAATGTTCTCTCGTTATCGTTACTGTTGGGCTGAACGCCCTAGGATCTTTAGTAGAGTTAAAGTCTGAGTAAATGATGTAGTAGCGGAAGCGTTTGAATAAAGTCCTTGAACCACCTTGCGCTAGTATGTGAGGGCAAAGTAAGTTAATTAAAGCAAAGAGATACAGGAATATATATATGAGTACAGAGAATATGAAGAGACATAATTGTAACTGTTTTACTGTGGCGGTTCGATACAGTGCGACTCGGGCAACTGCTCAATGTCGAGTCAGTTGTGTGTCCTTGCTGTCGCGCTGCGTCAGGTCAAAGGTCGCTGACCTTTGACTTTCTCGTAACCTCGAGCGGTTACGTTAACCTCCGAGGGTTGACTCGCGGTGCTTCGATTTGAGCTGCTTCGCTTGTGTCTTGAGTTTCGACATGACAGAGGCGCTTAAGACTATTTGTTCCCAACACTCCCCTTCGCTTCTGGAGTGTCGCTGATGGTGACGTGGCTTTGTCCAGTCAGCAGCATGCAGTACTCGAACTTCTGTTTTCCGAGCTTCTTGGTCAAGTAGTCAGCTGCCATCTCAGACGTGGGACAGTAGGATAGTTTGAGTTTCCCTTTCTCGATCTCGTCTTTCACGAAGAAATATCGCAGGGCGAAATCCTTCGTTTTGTTCGCGAATCCGCTCTTGTTGGCGATGCGAATTGTCAGAATCCCAACCACTAGACCATTGGGATAAAAGGGCTTGTTAAGTAGCGGGTCAGTGCGCCCATAACCCCCCAGGCCAACATGCCTGTAACCCTTCCCTAGGATCAATCGGGGATCACCAGTGGACCTCTGACATGAATCGCAGATTGGTTGTCGCAGAACAGAGTGAAGTTGGGTAACTCGGCTAACTTCGCTTCTTTCAGCAGCTCGCGAAGATAGAGTCCTTCCTTGGTGGCTGAGCAGAGTGCGATATATTCTGCTTCAGCTGAGGAGAGAGCGATTAGTTCCTGCTTGCTCGATTGCAAGGAGATAGGTCCGATAGGTTCGAGGCGGTAGATGTAGCCAGTGCGGGAGCGTCTGTTGTCTGAATCGCCGGCGTGATCGGCATCGACGTAGCCGATTAGTTTCGTCGGTGTAGTTTTACTCTTGTAGTATGTCAGGCCGATCGTCGAGGTGCTCACGAAGTAGTGGAGAGCGCGGTCGAGTTCCGCCAGGTGTTCTGTTTCGGGCCTTTTGAGATAGGTAGCAAGTTGACTTGCGGAGTAGGACAGATCTGGGCGGCAGGTGACGGCTGCGAAGAGAAGGCAGCCCAGCTTCCTCTGGCAGTCGCGTATTCCGGCGGTTTTGAGTAGAGCGGGACCTCCTTTGTCGTTCCCTGCCGTGTAGCGGTATGGCGTGGAGATAGTGGTAGGTGTGAGCGAGAAGCGTTTGGCGATAGTGTCGGCATACTTTTCGGCGCTGAGATAGATCGCGTTCTCTTCTTCGCGGATGTTGAGTCCGAGGTACTGAGTGACGGTAGAGGAGACCGTGAGTGTAAGATCCCTCTGCAGCTCCCCTTCGAACCAGGTGGTGACGTCGTCGGTGGAGCCAATGTAGAGTAGGTCGTCGACGTAGACGATCAGCAGGATATAGTCGGCGTTTTTGGTGAGTCGATACATTCCTTGGTCGTGAGGTAGTTGGCGGAATCCGATGCGAGTGAGGCGAGTGTGTAGGTGCTGTTGCCACAGCCGCGGGGCTTGTTTGATACCGTAGAGCGATTTCAGTAGCTGGCAAACTTGGTTAGGTTCCCCGTGGGTACTGTGTGGGAGCTCGACGAAGATTTCGGCCTCGACGGGTGCGTAGAGGAACGCGTTGGCGACATCGATTTGTCGCAGTTTCTTCTTCTTCATAGCGGCGATCGCGAGAAGAATTCGGAGTGAGGTATGTCGGCTGACCGGGGCGAATGTCTCGGTGAAGTCCCGTCCGTGCTCCTGGTCGAATCCACGCACGACCCAGCGTGCTTTGAATTTCTCGATTGTACCGTCTGCCTTTGTTTTAATGCGGAAGACCCATTTCCCGGTGAGGATGGTCTTGTTCCTTGCCACGCTTACGGGAACGACTTTCCAGGTGTTGAGTTCCTCCAGCGCCTTTAACTCTCTGTCCATGGCTTCACGCCATTTCTCCCTGTGTTCCCCCCCCAGAGTCTGCTGAACTGTCGCAGGCTCTTTAGGAAGAGCATTGCCGTGGACTGCGGTGACGAGGCCGAGAATCTGCAGTCCAGTATGTGAGTAGCGGGGGAGAGTTGTGTCCTCGGGATAAGCTGCTTCATCTCCCGCTTCTGGGTCGGGTATGAAATTCGGCCCTATCCGTTCTGCTTCGTTGGTGTTGACTGTCGCAGGTGTTACGTAACCGTTGTCGGCGAAGTGGTAGAAGACTTCGGCGTTGGCGCTTTCGCGAGGATTTTCTTCGTCCATGGGCACGTCGACGGAGCAGAACGGTAGAGGTTTGGCTTCTTCTGATGCGTTGTCGACGTTCTGCTCGTCCCAGTCTGCTTCGTCCGCTGCTGAGGCGAAGGCTCGGTCACCACGAAAGCCACCTGTGGGGTCCTGATTTTCGTGCAAGTTGGCGAGGTACGTCTGAAGCGTGAGTCGTTCGTAGAAGATCACGTCACGTGCTGCTACTGTTTCCTTGGAGTGGACGTCGAAGATTTTCCACGCGTTGTAATTCTTTTCGATGCCGAGGTGTAGTCCCCATTGTGCGCGTTGTAAAAATCTTCCCGCTCGTGCTTCTGGGGGTCGGTACTATACCATGCACCCGAAAACTCGTAACATTTTTGTGCTGCCCTGATTCCCTGTCCACAGCAGATGCGGTGATGCGTTGTTCGGAAGTGAGGACGACGACATCAAGTTGTGCAGCATGACAGCGTGGTCCATTGCTGCAAGCCACTGGTGGTTGGGTAGCCGCATGCCACGTAGCAGTTTGCGCATGCTGCTCTGCAGAGTCCTGTTCATTCTTTCTGCGACACCTTGCTGCTGATGGGCGTAGGGAAGGGAGAGGAGCTGCTTGATTCCTCTTTCCGCCAGGTACTGCTTGAAGCGCTGAGAGGTGTATTCCCCTCCTCCGTCTGACTGGAAGCTTTTCAGGTGTGCTCCCGACTCTCTCTCTGCTACTGGTAGCCAGGCGGCGAACGCTGCGAGTGCCATGTCGCGGCTGGGTAGGTTTAGGTGCCAGACGTATCGAGTGGCGGCGTCGATGAAGGTTATCGTGTAGTTGTGAGTAACTTGTCCTGGTTCTCGATTGAAGAGAATATCGCTGTACACCTTCTCGAGTGGTGCGTACGCGGGTGCGCTCGGGTTGTGGTGAGGAGTAAACGGTCGATGTGGTAAGTCGGCTTCGGGACAGGTGAGGCAAGTTCCTCGTGTCCGTTGAAGTTCTCTGCCGTCGGGTAGTAGTAATGAATCCTTGTCTAGGACTCCTGCTCTTATTGTATTATTTAACACGGTGTTGCTTGGATGTCCCATGCGTGCGTGCCAGATGTCTTCGGAGGCGCGGTGTCCGGGTGAGCGTCGATACGCATCGGAGTTGGAGTAGAAGCTGGCGACGAAGTTTGCGCTTCTGTGGACTTCTCGTTGAGTTGGGTTCAGCTGCTGTGCGAGTGTTGGTGGTGCTTCGTCAACGAGAACTGGTGTCGCTGACGATGGTTCTGCTACTGCCGATGATGTTTCTGCTGCTGCCGATGTTGTCTCTGCTGCTTCTGCTGCTGCCGATGTTGTCTCTGCTGCTGCTGATGATGTTTCTGCTACTGCCGATGTTGTTTCTGCTGCTGCCGGATGTTGAATTGTTGCTAACGCGCGTGTTCATTCTGCTTCAGGGATGGTATGCGAGTACCAGAAGCCTTCCGGGCTGAAGTCTGGATCAAGATCTGGAGGGTGCGTCCAGTCGGCGAAGTTCACGATGGCGTCGCTGTCTGCGCTGCCCAGGTCTGGGACGAAGTCAAGGACAAAGACGTTATTCTTCAGAACCGCCTTTCCGATGTAGAGGCCGCCCTTCCCGTGGTACAGTTTGAACTCCTGGGTGGTGCTGTCGGCTTCCAGGTGTATGCCTTTCGCCATCAGCTGACTGGCGCTCAGTAAGTTGTAGCCGAGTCCCTCTGCTATTAGGACTTTCGACATTTGTAGTACGACGTTCGTCTCCCGTGACTGAAGCTGTACTATGCCTTGTCGTCTTGTTCGCAGGTTCTGATTATTGGCGACGGTGATGACGACTTCTCGTTGAAGTCGGTGCTCGCGTTGAACGAAACGTCATGAGGAACACATGTGTTGTCCGCAGCAACTGTCCAAGAACCAAGTGTCTCTTCCGGATGGCTCGCTTTGAGCGATGGCGGCGTATGTCGGGTTCGGCTGAAGTGACTCGCGGCGAGGTGTGGTTTCGTCAAGTCGTTCTGTGATTCGGTGATGCAGGATTCTGTTGTCTTTGCCATGCAGTTGACGATGTTTCTTGCTCCTTGTGCAGGTTGTCCTGTTGGAGTCGTTGAGGTTTGAATCTTTGTCGTGGGAGTTGCTTGCGTTGAAGTGACTTGGGAGCTTGAAGGCCGAAGTTGTCGATGTGGTATTGTGTACGCCATCATCGATTGATAGGTGTACTGCTGCTTCTCATACTGCGTGCCGTTTGTTGGATATGGCAGGGACCCGTCGAAGAAGCCAAGGATCTGCGCTCCTTCCATCATCAGCTCGAATTCGAACGACCAGGTAAAGAAATCCTTCCCGTCGAAAGGTTTTGTCGTTTGTAGTTTT